TTGGTTCCCGGTGAAGTCCGAGGCCCAGCTCTGGAGCCCGCCTGCGCCCCCCAGTGGACTCGCAAGAGGGTGCCGCGGGCGAGAAGGGCGCAGGAACCGAGGACTCCAGGGGCTGGGGACTTCGGGGGCCGCTCTGGGAAGCGGAAAGCAGTCAGCGGGGAGGACCCCATTCTGGAACTGCTCAGGCTCCCCAAGACTTGACGCAGCCCCCCACGCTTCTGGAGGTGGGGAGGGCCTCTGGACAGATGGGTGTCCCCTGGTGCCCCTCCACTCTTCTCTTCCTCTCTTTTTTGGGGGGAGAAACCTCGGAATTTCTATGAGACCCCCCCAGGGAGGGGGTCAGTTGGGCCCCCATCCCTCCCCTTGCCACATCTCAGCCCCTGTTGGAATAAAAAAAAGAACAAAACCCCAGAACTGGGGATACCGGCTCTCATTTCCTGGGGGTGTGAGGGCATTGGAGGCTTGGGTCCCCGGGGCACCTGCCGAGAACCGGAGTGAGCCTCGATGGTTACTTCTATGCTCTCTCCACCCTCGGCCCTGCCTACAGGCTGCAGGCCAGCCGGGGTTCCAGCACCTGGCCCCTCTCCACTGACCTTCTCTCAGGACAGAGGGAGGCTGCAACAGAGACCCTGAGACAGATGGAGAGATGCAGGGATCTGGAGACGCGGAGACACCGGAAGCGGAGACACAGAAAGAAAGCAGATGGGGCTGGGGGAGGGGAGGGCCAGTGAGCTGTTGAGTGTGGCCGTGCCTGGGGTGGCGAGTGTGTGCCTGGGCCGGGGTGATTCAGTGACGTTGTGATCGTGTGTGCACGTATCCGCGAGGCCATCTTCAACTGTCTGTGACTGTGACCCCCGTGTTTCTGTTGAAAATGTACTTCCCCAGCCCCCAAGAGAGGAAGTGAGAAATCCCAGTAGACTGGGGGGTGGGCGGGCTGGCAGGGGTGGGAGAGGCTGAAGGGCTGATGGCGCAGGAGAAAGGTGGGTCCGCCTTCTGTCCCCGCCCTCCCTCGCCCCGCCGGAGGTTTCTGTGGAAACTGCAGCTGAGGAAGGACGAGTGAAGGTCACACAGCAAGAGTCAAAACGAGGCCGAGCAGAAAGGGAGAGATGGAGGGATGGCGAGAGACAGAGATGGGGAGAGACAACGAAGGGGGCAGAGTGGGCGGGAGAGGGATGGGGAGAGGGAGCTGGGGGACACAGAGCCGGCGAGACAGGGAGAGAGGCTGGGTGAGGTGGAGAAGGAATAGAGAACTGAGACCAGAGGTGAAGCGGGAGGGTAAGAGACACCTGGAATTGAGGCAAGAGACAGGAAGCCATAAAAAACTAAATGGAGCCTGGAGGGGGCTGGAACGGAGAGGAAAACCTGACTGGAAGGGTCCCAGAGAAAGCGAGGCTTGGCCCATCCCTGGGCGGCGGCCCGGGGCTTGGGAGCTGTCCGTTCAGCACCCAGTTGGCCAGCCTCAGCCCAGCGCTCCCGACTGTCCTCCAGGGCCTGCCTGTCCTGCGCAGTCCTGGCAGGCCGGCCACACCTCGGGAGACCCCTCCCCACACACAGCGCCCCCCGTCGCCACCCGTCCCCTTCTGCGTCTCAGACCCTGGTTGCCTGTGTGCCCCTCGGACAGGTGTGGGGGCGGGCACCAGCTCTCTTTGTTGTCTCGCATCTCTGTCTCTTACACACTCCAATCAATGTTTCTGCCCTTGGGCCGGACTGTCTGTCGAGGTGACTAGAAGAACATGATTACAGACATTTTTGGTTTCTCCCCTTCTCTGTCCCAAGGCCTCGAGGCCAGTTCCCTCTGGGGTCTCTCCCCCATTTCTGAGTCCCCCATCCCCTACCAGGTTTCTGCTCAGAGTCTCCCCCTGGCCTTTATCTCTGAGTCTCCCTAGTTTACCAAGCCTGTCTCTGCCTGGCTGTCTACCTCCCTCTGTCTCTGTCACCTTCACTGAACTCTTCCGTTGCTCTGTCTCCGTGTTCTCATCTCTGCATCTGCCAATCTCTCTCTCTTTTTCAATCTGTCTTTATCTGCCTCTCTCTGATTCTGGGCTGCCTGTCTGTTTCTCCCCCTGTGTCTCTCCTTCTGCCTCTCACATCTATCTCCCCTATCCCCCTTTATCCCTGTGACCTTCCCAGTCTTTCCTCCTCACCGCCCCCCCCCCCCCACTTCTGCAGATCCTCACCGGGAGCACGATGCACAGTCATCAGTCTCATCAGGCTCGTGCCTGAGGAGGAAGTGCATGAGGGGGGACGTGAGCTTGTGTCTGAGGTGGGATGGGAAGGACTTGAGGCCTCCCCCAGCCCAGCTGGAGAGCAAGAGTAGAGAGAGCCTAGAATCTCCTGGAATCCAGGCCTCTCCCACCTCCCCAGGCTTCTCCATCTCCCCAATCCCATTCTCGATGGTCCAGGCCCATGCCTCTAGGCCAAGGTGTCAAGAGAAGGAACGGAGGATATGTTGCTAGGCTCTGCCTCCCCCAGGAAGAGGGCAGAGTTGGGGAGGGGGCATCTGGGGGCGAGGCATCTGGGTTAAAAGATGTAGCTCCTCCCCCTTTCCCAGTCTCCATGGCAACAGCCCAGTCTGCAGGCCCAACCTCCTTTGCTGCAGAGGCAGCCTCCCTGTTACCATGGCAACGAAGGACAGCGAGAAAGATGGGGACGGGTCAGAGGACAGGATTGGGATGGGGCTCTGGGCACTGGAGAAAGTCTCCATTCACTCTCTGGCCCTATCTCTGTTCATATGCTGTGGCTCTGAATCTCTGTCTCTGTTTTTGTACCTCTCTCTGGCCTTCAGCCTTTCACATTTCCTTGCACCAGGTCCTCAACCTTCACCCACCCACCCTCACACACCAAGCTCACTCCCCATCCCTTGCCTGTGTCTCCTACATCTCCTTTCCCATAGGTGGAGAGGATACCCACATTCTGAGAAAGCTACAAGGTCAAATGCTCTCTGTGTCTCTCTCTCTTCCTCTTCTACCATCCCCAGGGAGAGTCTGGGGTGTTCCTCCTAGAACAAAGTGGTGTTGGAGTGAGTGGGGAGGCCTCAACTTCTTGGGCTCCAGTGGGGTGACTGATGGGGTGTTGTGTGTCGGTGGCAGGCCTGGGGTGTGGGTGCCGGCTGTGCGTCTGTGTGTGTACATATACTGTGACGAGGGCTGTGTGTCATGTGGGTGAGGGCGTTGGAGTGTGTTTGGAGGTGCAACAAAGATGTCTGCGATAGTGCTGCAATAACGTGATGTGTGTATGTGTGGGAGATGTGTGGGTGTCGTGTGACTTGTGTTTGAATTATTGTGCTGTGTGTAAGTGTGTGCACCTTTTTGTCTGTCATTCACAGTTAGCATTGGCAATTTTGCACTGTGGGCTGTTGCTCATGCCCAGACACACTAGGGAGCAGTGTGTGTGAGGATGTGTACAACATTGTGGGATCATGCAACGATGTCCACAAAGGCTGATGTAATGTGTCTGGAGGCAGTGTGAGGCCTGTGGGTGTGTGATGGTGCTGAGTGCAGGTGTGTTTTGGTTTCTGGGTTGCACGGTGTGGGTCTCTATGTGAAATGGTGGGAGGTCAGGTGTGGTAGAGTGTGTGATGTGTGAGTCTGTGATTTTCGGAGTGTCCATGTTAGTCTGCACAGCACTTTGTGACTGTGATTGTGATTATCTTGTGGTATGATGGGTGTATAAGGTGTGTGCCTTGTGTGTGTTTCACTCCTATATGTTTGAGACTCTGTGTGTGATGGGGTGGTGTGTGTGTGAGGGCACATGCTGGCATGTGATGGAATGTGAGTGCAACCCTGTGGTGTGTGCATGTCCCTAGCGTCTGGGCTATGAGTGTGATGGTCCTGTGTAACTGTGACACTGGGCATTTTCTGGGTCTCCTGGGGCCATCCTCCACCGTGTTGTGTCTCCCGTATACCCTGTGTGGTTGTGGCTCATTGGATAGCTCAGGCGTAGTGGGGGGGCACCCACAGTGAAGGAATCTCCGGGCTCCTCCCCCCATCTCCCCTCCTCAATTGCCTTTCTTGCTCTCTTGTGTTCCCCTCCAACTTCACCTCCTGCAGGGCCCGCTCCCTGAACAGCACCACCCCCCACCGTCTCCAGGGGCCCTGGTGCCACACTGCAGTGATTCACCGGGCTTTCCTCCCACCCCGTGTCACCACCCGCCCCCCCCACAGCGTACCCTTCTCGGTGGTGGCACACCCCCACAATGAGAGGATTTCCGGGGTTCTCTTTCCCTGAGCGCCCCTCCTTGGAGGCCCTACCCCGTATTGAGGGGGTCTCCGGGAATCCCCCCACCCCCGCAGCGCTCCTCTTTCGCGGCCGCGCCGCCACTTTGCGGAGCCCAGGGGGAGGACAGCTGCAGTACCGGGGGTGGGGCCGCCGGCCGTCCGTCT